TAGACAATACAAAGGAGTAGAGATAATACCATGCATCCTATCTGATCATAATGGAATGGAACTGAAAATCAACGATAAAAGAAGGAAGGAAAAAGAATACATCACTTGGAGAATGAACAATAGGTTACTGAATGATCAATGGGTTATAGAAGACATCAAGGAGGAAATTAAAAAATTCTTAGAGATTAATGAAAACACTGACACAACATATCGGAATCTATGGGACACATTGAAAGCAGTTCTAAGAGGAAAATTCATTGCTTGGAGTTCATTCCTTAAAAAAAGAAAAAACCAACAAATAAATGATCTCATACTTCATCTCAAAATCCTAGAAAAAGAAGAGCAAAACAACAGCAAAAGAAGTAGAAGGCAAGAAATAATTAAAATCAGAGCTGAAATTAATGAAATCGAAACAAAAGAAACAATTGAAAAAATTGACAAAACTAAAAGTTGGTTCTTTGAAAAAATAAACAAAATCGACAGACCCTTAGCCATGCTAGTGAAGAGAAGAAGAGAGAGAACTCAAATTACTAGCATACGGGATGAAAAAGGCAATATCACAACAGACACTTCAGATATACAGAAGATAATCAAAAATTATTTTGAATCCTTATACTCCAATAAATTAGAAGATAGTGAAGGCATCGATAAATTTCTTAAGTCATATGATCTGCCCAGATTGAGTCAGGAGGATATAGACAACCTAAACAGACCAATATCAATTGAGGAAATAGAAGAAACCATCAAAAGACTACCAACTAAGAAAAGCCCAGGACCGGATGGGTATACAGCAGAGTTTTACAAAACCTTTAAAGAGGAACTAATACCAATACTTTTCAAGCTACTTCAGGAAATAGAAAAAGAGGGAGAACTTCCAAATTCATTCTACGAGGCCAACATCACCCTGATACCTAAACCAGACAAAGACACTTCAAAGAAAGAAAACTACAGACCAATATCTCTAATGAACCTAGATGCAAAAATCCTCAATAAAATTCTGGCGAATTGGATACAAAAACATATCAAAAAAAATTGTGCACCATGATCAAGTAGGATTCATCCCTGGGATGCAAGGCTGGTTCAATATACGGAAATCAATAAATGTTATTCACCACATCAATAGACTTAAAAATAAGAACCATATGATCATCTCGATAGATGCGGAAAAAGCATTCGACAAAGTACAGCATCCCTTTTTGTTCAAAACTCTAGAAAAACTAGGGATAACAGGAACATACCTCAATATTGTAAATGCAATCTATGCTAAGCCTCAGGCTAGCATCATTCTGAATGGAGAAAAATTGAAGGCATTCCCTCTAAAATCTGGAACAAGACAGGGATGCCCTCTCTCACCACTTCTGTTTAACATAGTTCTCGAAACACTGGCCAGAGCAATTAGACAGACGAAAGAAATTAAAGGCATCAAAATAGGAAAAGAAGAACTTAAATTATCACTATTTGCAGATGACATGATTCTATACCTAGCAGACCCAAAAGGGTCTACAAAGAAACTATTAGAGCTAATAAATGAATTCAGCAAAGTGGCAGGATATAAAATCAACACGCATAAATCAAAGGCATTCCTGTATATCAGCGACAAATCCTCTGAAATGGAAATGAGGACAACCACTCCATTCAAAATATCTTCAAAAAAAATAAAATACTTGGGAATCAACCTAACAAAAGAGGTGAAAGACTTATACAATGAAAACTACAGAACCCTAAAGAGAGAAATAGAAGAAGATCTTAGAAGATGGAAAAATATACCCTGTTCATGGACAGGCAGAACTAACATCATCAAAATGGCGATATTACCAAAAGTTCTCTATAGGTTTAATGCAATGCCAATCAAAATCCCAACGGCATTTCTTGTAGAAATAGAGAAAGCAATCATGAAATTTATATGGAAAAATAAAAGACCCAGAATAGCAAAAACAATGCTAAGCAGGAAGTGTGAATCAGGCGGTATAGCGATACCAGACTTCAAACTATACTACAGAGCAATAGTAACAAAAACAGCATGGTACTGGTACCAAAACAGGCGGGTGGACCAATGGTACAGAATAGAGGACACAGAAAACAATCCACAAAACTACAACTATCTTATATTTGATAAAGGGGCTAAAAGCATGCAATGGAGGAAGGATAGCATCTTCAACAAATGGTGCTGGGAAAACTGGAAATCCATATGCAACAAAATGAAACTGAATCCCTTTCTCTCGCCATGCACAAAAGTGAATTCAAAATGGATCAAGGAGCTTGATATCAAATCAGAGACACGCCGTCTGATAGAAGAAAAAGTTGGCTACGATCTACAGTCTGTGGGGTCGGGCTCCAAATTCCTCAATAGGACACCCATAGCACAAAAGTTAATAACTAGAATCAACAAATGGGACTTACTCAAACTAAAAAGTTTTTTCTCAGCAAAAGAAACAATAAGAGATGTAAATAGGGAGCCTACATCCTGGGAACAAATCTTTACTCCTCACACTTCAGATAGAGCCCTAATATCCAGAGTATACAAAGAACTCAAAAAATTAGACAATAAGAGAACAAACAACCCAATCAACAAATGGGCCAAGGACCTGAACAGACACTTCTCAGAGGAGGACATACAGTCAATCAACAAGTACATGAAAAAATGCTCACCATCTCTAGCTGTCAGAGAAATGCAAATCAAAACCACCCTAAGATACCATCTCACTCCAGTTAGATTGGCAGCCATTATGAAGTCAAACAACAACAAGTGCTGGTGAGGATGTGGGGAAAAGGGTACACTTGTACATTGCTGGTGGGACTGCAAATTGGTGCAGCCAATTTGGAAAGCAGTATGGAGATTTCTTGGAAAGCTGGGAATGGAGCCACCATTTGACCCAGCTATTCCCTTCTTGGTCTATTCCCTAAAGACCTAAAAAGAGCATGCTACAGGGACACTGCTACATCGATGTTCATAGCAGCACAATTCACAATAGCAAGACTGTGGAACCGACCTAGATGCCCTTCAATAGATAAATGGATAAAAAAAAATGTGGCATTTATACACAATGGAGTATTACTCTGCATTAAAAAATGACAAAATCATAGAATTTACAGGGAAATGGATGGCATTAGAGCAGATTATGCTAAGTGAAGCTAGCCAATCCCTAAAAAACAAATGCCAAATGTCTTCTTTGATATAAGGAGAGTAACTAAGAACAGAGTAGGGACGAAGAGCATGAGAAGAAGATTAACATTTAACAGGGATGAGAGGTGGGAGGGAAAGGGAGAGAGAAGGGAAATTGCATGGAAATGGAAGGAGACCCTCAGAGTTATACAAAAGTACATACAAGAGGAAGTGAGGGGAAAGGGGAAAATAATACAAGGGGGACAAATGAATGTCAGTAGAGGGGGCAGAGAGAGAAGAGGGGAGGCGAGGGGAGGGGAGGGGGGATAGTAGAGGATAGGAAAGGCAGCAGAATACAACAGACACTAGTATGGCAATATGTAAATCAATGGATGTGTAACTGATGTGATTCTGCAATCTGTATATGGGGTAAAAATGGGAGCTCATAACCCACTTGAATCAAAGTGTGAAATATGATATATCAAGAACTATGTAATGTTTTGAACAGCCAACCATAAAAAATTAAAAAAAAAAAAAAAAAGAAAATCAAAGTACTGATAAAAAGGAAAATGTTCTAATTCATCCCAGAAGTGGCCAAATATTTTCAAACTTTCACAATGTACCTGGAGCTATTTATGCTATTATTTAGCCCAGGCCAATCAGTGTGCTGATTCTTCCCTGGATACCCTCGTCAGCACCAGGATCTTCCCAACACTTAAATTATCCAGAAATGGAGGATCTGACAATGTTCAAGCTCACTGTTTTAAAAACAGTGTATGCCCTAGAACTGACTAATGCTTTTGACGTTTAAATGTGCATTTACCAATTATATTGATAACTAATAAAAGTAGAAAATACACACACAAGACTACTTCATCATCATAATGTGATCAGAAAGAAGTGGTACATAATAACTGATTCTAAGAATTACACCAGTACAATGTATTCAAATGTTATTTTTTAAAAGGATGCAACTGTACAAAGTATTAACCATATTATTACTAACCATAAAGATTGTGGGTTTTTTTCTGATTTTAAGATATATAAATCCTGCTCCTACTAGTTATCAACAGCTGCTTCTAACATTTTTTTATATGTTAGTAGAACTATTTTAGATCAAACTAAGTCCAATAGAAATGAAGTACATTTTCAGGTGAATAGTAGAGAAAGCCAATACTGTGCAAACTTACCACATCAGCTATTTCAACATAAGAGGTTCAATCCTAAACTAATAATTCATGAGAAATCCCACAATCAAGATGCCATAAAACAATTCTAATTAAATATAATCCCTCTCCCAAGATTTCTCAGCACTGTGAGGTATTAAGGAACAGAAGTTTCTTTGTAAACATTTGAAATGATAAATCTGTTTTAAAAGTATAACATTCAAAAGACTTTGAATTTCTGAGCAACAATGAAATATCAGAATATATCAGTAACAGTGAAGAGCTAAATCTAACAATGATATACTTTTCCCTATCCACAATACGCTTTGTATTCTCAAACAGAACACTGTTATGATATGAGCAAAATCCAAACAGTGTGGGCTGAGTAATGCTAACTCAGTCTGTGTTGTTTTTCTTTGCTACAAAGGGAGACACAGGACAGTACATTTTGGTGTGAAGTTGGAAGCTCACATTAAGAAATCTAGATGTGAGCTCATAACTTTCTACTTTACTTTGCTTTTCAGAAAGTAATGCAGTGCTGCACTGCACATATCCCCCAACTCTCATGTCTAAATAAAACCACTTGCACAACTGCACTGAAAGGCTCTACAATATGAGTAGGGGTGGGGCAGGGGCAGTAACTGAAAAAACCTGGCAGGGTTATAAGTAGATAAATCTGGATTATTCAAAATATGCTAGGTATAAACCAAAACAAATGAATAGACACATACCCTTGAGGAGAGAGTTTGTCTAGCCACCCTGACTTAACTCTTGCAGCAGAAGATCCGTAAAAACAGGCATAGGGAGAGATGGCACTCGAGGAGACAGCTGAATCAGCATTTCCACTTGTTGAGCTAAGAGGATAACTGTGCCTATTAACAGGGTCCGAATTTAATGGTTTTTGAGTCCTGGACTTGGACGCCTTTGAATTTTTTCTTTTTAAACTCTGAAAGCACTCTTCTACTGTGGAGTATTCTGATTCAGAAGCAGAGTCTCTTGGAAGATTGTTTTTGTCCTCTCGAGGTATCCAAATATCTTCTACTTTGTCTTCACTTAATTTCTCCTGCTTGTTATCATATATGCTAAAGAGAAAGAAATGGCATTCACATTTCAAAGTGGTGTTACTTTTTTTTTAACTTATAAACAACCAAACACAGAAATTTAAGTCTGGGAAAATCTTAAGAGTTCAGTTATACCATATCTCATTATTTTTTAAACTTCTCAGAAAAATTATGTAGAAATATTTGAACACTATCTGAAGGGTTTTTTTTTTTTTTTCTTATGTATAATTTAATCTTATTCCCTTCATTATGGGAGGCTGGGCACAGGTAAAAGGATGGAGATGGACCAGATTCTTTGCATCCCAATTTAATCATCAACAATAAAATAAAATGACCAGCCCAACTTCTATTCCCTGGGTACTATCATGAACTACTAATTCATCTATTTGGAGATCTTACTTCCAACTTGTTGACCCAACTTGTTGCCCCTTCTACGTTCCTCTAATCGACTCCAAGAATGCCATATTCCACCATAATGTAATAAAGCTGAAAGTGTATCTGACTGCTCAGAGCTTTGGGAATATGTTGCAAAGAAAAATACTGTACCACACTGCCAGCCAATGAAACAAGAAAAGGTCAGTGTATATTCAGAAGGTAAAAGTTGCATTAGATATAATATTGACTGAAATGTATTCATAAAAGCTAAGCATATTCCTACAACTTTAAGAAATGACACAATAGATTCAATCAGTCATTTATGTAAAACAAAACTCATTACAAGAAAATTTTTGCCAATCTATAAAAAGGATATGCCTAGGGGTCAAATCACATCCTTCTGGATACAGTATTATAAAAAAACTATTACTTTCTTAAAGAACAATTTAGATGAGCCCTTCCACATCAAATAGATTCATATCAAATGCTTATTAAAGATACTAATCATTTAGTTCGAAGTTTTTGTGGATTTAAGGAAATCCACAACAATGTTAGTTTTAGAAAATTAAGGATAAATGAAAAACAAAATGAATGGTAGGTAATGATCCAGCATCTCAAGTCCCAATAAAACTGAGAGAAAAATTTAACTTGGTGCGTAAAAATTCTGTTTAACTTCTTGTGTGACATAAATAGATGAGTAACTATCACACCTCTGTTTTCAATGAACCTCTCAATAGAAAGGACACTTTATCATTGTGAACTCTGCAGCTCCATGGTCTTTTGTGCTGCTCCTTCATTCTTCATATTAACATAATCTCCCACTGTTGAGGTGCAATCAAGGGGCACCAAATATTTGCCACTTGAGGCAGTGAGAATGGCTGCAGTTAGGATCAGACAAAAATAGTCTGCTACAGAGTATCACCACTCAATCAACAAGCTATAATTTTGTTATTAAAACAGGTCCTGTTATGGAGATATTTAGAAAGGAAAGCTTTTAACTTCCATCATAAACTAAAGTATTATACTATGAGCAAGATGTTTAAATTTTAGCACAGAATTAATCCTCAATCATGAACTCATACCTTGATTTGATAAAAAATGAGTTCCTTGCAGTAGTTGCTTCTCCTTTGACGGTTTCTTCATGAGTCCAAAATTCATTCTTTATACATCTCTTCTGTGGGGGAAAAAAAAAAAAAAAAAATATATATATATATATATATATATATACACACACACACACACACACAAACACATACATACACAAACACACACACACTGTTTTGCTTTCTTGGCTTGAAGATATTTATTTATTTATTTATTTATTTATTTCAGTACTAGAACTGAACCCAGGGCCTTGCACATGCTATAGACAAGTGCTCTACCACAGTGCTGCATACATACTCAGCCCTTTTTAATTTTGAGATAGAGTCTTGCTTAGCCCACACTGGCCTCAAACTTACAATCCTCCTGCCTCAGGCTCCCAAGCAGCTAGGATTTAGGCATGCACCACCACTCCTGCCTGGGGATGTTTTTCAGTGTAACAATATTTTACAAAGATCCATAATATCTGCCAGACCCAGGGGTGCACACTTTTATTTCAGTTCCTCAGGACACTGAAGCAAGAGACTACGAGTCTCAGCAAATGAGCAATACCTTGTCTCAAAAGCAAACCAAAACAAAAAACTAACCCAGGGGATAGGGATGTAGCTCAGAGGTAAAGTGCCCCTGAATTCAATTACCATTACCAAATTTTTTTTAAAGCATATAATATCAGAGTTTAGTATTATTAAACAAATGTCTAAATGCTTTAATTTTCAGCAAAATAAATATTTCATTAGAGAGTCTACATTACAACATTTTGAAGCCTTTTTCACTATCTTATTTAAATCATTAGCTAATTAGTTCAACTTAGAAAAAAAGATGTCAACCAAGAATTCATGTACAAAATTCATGTACTTTTAATCTATGCTATATGTTTTCTCAAATTCTCCTTTATCAAGGTCAAGAAATAAAATAGCAAAAAGAGTACAAGTCTTTGAAAGGAAAGCCTGAATAATGAACTCATTTATTAAAAATATATAAATAATTATAATTAAATTATACTTAGGAAGTGTGCATTTGGGTATAAGGCAATGCAAAATCTGGGGAGTTTCTGTGTTTCTGTTGTTGTTCTTGTTGTTTAATTAAAGTAACTTTATTTCTGGCAAATATTTAAAACTCACTATTCTGTATTCCTAAAACAAAAATGTGTCTGCATGCTATTGTTTTACCATAATTTTACTAAACAGAAATATTGCTCTCTGGAAATTTAATTCTTCAATACAATGCATTCTTCAAATAGCTTACAAGAAAATGAAAAGACACATATAGGCGGTAGAGCAAAGAACTGTAGTGAAAAAAATAATAAATAAATAAAATGTATGGGACTAACCTTGGAATTTTCTAGTCTCTGGAAGAGAAAAGTCTCTCCATAAGGAAAGATGGATGATGAATTCTCCTCACTTGAATCTTTTTGGGAAATTACAGGATGAGAATGGTAAAGATGAATAATGTTGAATAGTACAAAAAAAAATCATGTATTTAATCACCCAATAGCAATATCACAACTGAGGCTAAATTACACCCGTCAGCCCTCCCCGTAGACTTGCCAACCTTCACTGTACACACACTTCAAAACCACTAATTCTTAAATCGTCATCTCTGTCCTCAAATCGTCATTTCAAAAATCATTCCTGCTAATGCAGACCTCTAAGATCTACATTAATATAACCAAGTACTGCCTACATTCAACAGAAATTATCACTGTGCCAATTGTAATGCTAATTCCTAAGTAAGAATATATTCTAAAAGTATCTTTATGATAATGTTCAGAAAACACTGTAAACATTCACTAACCTAATAGTTACATATCATTCAAGATATCAGAATCCACTTAATCCCTCTAGTACCATGGCAACTAAAACACCTGTAAAAAAGTTATTTCAAAAGGATTTCTATCATCCTTGATTTACAAGATTTACAAGAAAAAATTCTAAGAACTTGTAATTCTTCTAGGAGAAAGAAAAAAATTAAGGGTAATCAATCGCTTGTCATTTCATCATTAAGAAGAATGTTCCTGAACTTGTATAAGCCGAATTTTCAGAAAGAAATAAAAGCCCCTGCCAAAGGTTGATTTACCCGAGTAACAATACAAGCCCTTTCTTGTTACCATGGCAAAACCACTTTTCATACATCTTTGTCCTGTAGCTCAATCTTCCAGAAACTATTTAATTTAGTGAAATGTCTTTGAGGCAAATGCTAAATGAAACTGGTATTTAAATATATATATATATATATATATATATATATATATATATATATATATACACACACACACACATATATATATATATATATACACACACACACACACATATATATGTATTTACATAAGCATGTGCGATTTCTAGGAGTCTAAGTGTATATTATTTTCTTTTATTCACTCACCTTTTAGGGTATCTGAAGTAACAAGAACAGCAGATAGTTAATCCCATTTTCCCCTTTACCACAGGTGGTCTGCCTTCTCAATCAGAATTTTTTAACACATTTTTTAAGAGTATAAAATGAGCTAATCAATTTATAGAGAATTTAAACACACAGACTCACTTTGCAGTGTCACAGATTTTCCAGGTAAGGTAGTAGCACTTCTTCTCTCACGGAAGTAGCTTAACGCAAAAGAGAAAAGATATGAGCTCCTATTTAATACCTTGAATAAAGGATGTGGTATAGAGACATACACTCTTATAGGAACAGACACCAATATTCAAAAAATAAGTCTGACTTGAAATAAACAGAATGACCAAATTCCAGCAATGTGTTTTTCTACAAAGTCTTAAAGGAAGAGATTTCATTGGATTTTATGAGGAGTATTTACATTTCATATCTGTAATTCACAAAAAGTAAGTGAATGTATTTGCTTAATGTTATTATACACATAACTGCAGAACTGCCAGCCATACCTCTGAGAGAATAGATTTGTTAACTATATTTCATTACGTACGTACTTTTTTGTCATTAACTTTATACCGCAGAGTACAAAACTGTTTCTAGTTCTATGAACATAATATGAAAAAACACCCAAACCCCTCTTTCAAAGATCTTCACAGTCTCGGAAGAGATATTAATGGTAATTAATAACAATTTGACTTGGTAACATCAATGATGGAGATACACTGCTGATAAAAGAAGGAATACCTGCTACAATATGACAGTTCTACTAATTTTTCCATCTAAAGGGAAGATCAGGACATCCTCAACTCCTCTTAGATATATATCTGCCCAAGTAATTAGAAGCCTAGAAATAACAAAAAGCAGAAATCAATGAAATAGACTAAGGATAAAATTTATAACTCACTGTAACCAAAACTGGGCTCCTTAATATATCAACACAATTGACAAACTTCAGTAAAAAAAAAAAAAAAAAAATATATATATATATATATATATATATATATATATATATATATATATATATGAGAGACAGGATATAACTACAAAGCCGTTGAAGATTAAAGGGATAATTAGGGATTATTAAAGAATACTATGTCAATAAAGTAAAAAACTAGATGTAATGACAAATTCCTTAAGAGACTTAAAGTATCAAATCTGACAAGGTTTAATCAAAATTCCCAGACCTATCAGAGAAACTGAATTTAGTAAGTAATCATCAAGTCAGAAAAAACTCCAAGCCCAGATACTTCATTGATAAAATCCAAGAAACACTCGAAGAATAAACAATAGCAATCCTGTGCAAAATTTTTGGGAATCTACAAAGAAAATATAACTGATAACCAAACCAGTCAAAAATGTAACTATAGATAAATATTCCTCAAGACATGGATGCAAAAAAAACAGTAATAAAATTTAGCAATATATAATGAGATAATATATTATGACCAGGTGAGATTTATCAAAAGAAATCAATGTTATTTTAACACTAGAAAAATCAAGATCCAGAAAAATAAACTGAGAAACTTTTAACATCCATTCATGATGAAGATTCTCAGCAAGGAATACAAGGAAACATCCTTAACCTAATAAAGAGCATTTATGAAAAACCTACGTTATAACTAATAAAGACTAAATGTTTTCCCCCAAGGATTTGGAGCAAAGCAAGGAGATCTACTCTCACCATTTAAGTTCACATTATTTCAGAGTTCCCAGCCTAGACAATAAAACAAGTAAAAGAAACAATAGGCACGCAGATTAGAAAAACAAGGTATCTTGAAAGGAGAGCATATCTTGTAAGTAAGAAAAATTTTAAAACCTTCCAAAAAGCTTCTCCAATTAACAAGTTAGCAAGGGCCCAGCATAAGGGTAAATATAAATAAATTCAGTATGCTTGTTATGGTTTGGATATGCAGTGTCCCCCAAGACTCATGTGAAGACTTGTTTCACAATGTAGCAATGTTCTGAGATAGGTCTTTTGAAAAACGACTGGACCATGAAGACTCTGACTTCATGAGTGGATTAATCCAATGATAAATTAATAATCTGGTAGCATTATAGCATTAGGGGGAAGTATCACAAATTTTAGGACCTGGGACCAAGTTAGAGTAAACAGGTTACTGGAGGTATGTCCTAGAAGGGTATCTCTTGTCCTTGGCCCCTTCACCCATCTCCTTCCCTCCCAACACCCTCCTTCCTGGTTGCCATGAGCTCAGCAGCTTTCCTCCACCCTGCCCTTCTGCCATGATATTCTACCTCACCTCAGACTCAAAGCAATGGAACTATCCAACCATGGACTCAAATATCTGAAATTATGAGCCACAGTAAATCTTCCCTCCACTAAGTTGATTTTTCTCAGTATTTGTTACAGCAACAAAATACTGAATAATACGGTTTCTATATACTAGCAATGAACTGAGAAAAATAATTTAAAATACAACTCTTGTTACAACAGCATAAAAAAGTATGAAATACTAATTGATAAGTTTACCAAAATGTGAACAAAACCTGTATCTTGGAAAATAGAAATGATTATTGAGAAAAAATTAAAGAAGTCCTAAACAAATGGACAGATATACCATATTAAGGACTGAAAGATTTAATAGTGCTAAGATTCAAATTCTTCCCATATTGATATATAGATTCTACACATCCTCAAACAATATTTCAGTAAGTTTTCATAATAGAAATTAACAAGGTGATTCTAAAATTTACATGAAAAGACAAATGACCTAGAATGGCCAAAATCGCTTTTAAAAAGAAAAACAAAAATTAGAAGATTTATAGTATATAATTTCAATATTTAGTCAAATCAAATAAGTTTTCATTTGATGAAGGGCAGACATATAAATCATGAGATGAAATGGAGTCCAACTATCATCCCACACATCCACAACCCGTTGATTTTTTATAATGTTCCAAAGCAATTCTGTGCAGAAAATCTTTCAACAAATGTGGCTAAAAGTGGATATGTCAGTATAATAAAAGAAGTGAATGTCAACCCTTCCTTCATTCCATACATAAAAATTAAATTAAATGGGAGTTTAGACCTAAGTATTAGTGCTAAAAATAAAATCTGAAAAATAAAGGAGGAAGAAAAATCATTAAACTCTCTGACTAGGAAAAGATTTGTTCAATAAGATATGAAAACCAAAACCCATAAAAGAAAAAAATTGAAAAGTTGAACCTTATTAAAATGTAAAACTTAATAATGTCATATATTTCTGATGCATGTCTTGCCCAAAATAAAAAGAACAACAAAAAAACTTACAATGTAGTAGTGAGAAATATAATTCGATTTTATAATGAACAAAAACCTAAATGTGTACTTCCGAAAAGAAGATGCATGAATGTGATAGCCATTGAATAGAATGGTTAAAATTAATGTTATTTAAAGCAAGTCCCAGGATATAAGTAGAAAGATGAGAATACTTAAAGACTATTGTCAGAAATACAAAGGTGTACATCCACTTTGGAAAACTGCTTAGCAGTTTCAAATAAAGATAGAGATTACTCTAACTTAAACTCCCAGATATTCCAACCCTAGAAACAAACAAAAAAAAAAAAAAATTAAAGACATATAGCCACAGAAAAAATACCTGTATACAAATCTACATAGAAACTCTTTTCTCAATAATCAATAACTTAAGAAAAGCTAAATGATCATCAAGAAATGAATGATAAATGAATGGATGTAAATGGATCCAAGAGAATACCACACAGGTTTCAAAACAAATAAACACAAAGACTAGTAAAAAGAAGTAAGTCAATAATAAACATAATGATATGAAATAGTATTAAAATTCCCATACTGAGCAAAAGAAGTCACATACAGGGAAGTATATCCCATAAGATTCTACGTGGACATGTTTGAAAGAGGTATTCTACAGTAAAACGACAGTAGGAAACAGGTTTAATACAACTGTTCTGATTCTTTTTTTTAATTATTATTTTTATTGTTGGTTGTTCAAAATATTACATAGTTCTTGATATATCATATTTCACACTTTGATTCAAGTGGGTTATGAACTCCCACTTTTACCCCGTATACAGATTGCAGAATCACATCAGTTACACATCCATTGATTTACATATTGCCATACTAGTGTCTGTTGTATTCTGCTGCCTTTCCTATCCTCTACTATCCCCCCTCCCCTCCCCTCCCCTCTTCTCTCTCTACCCCCTATACTGTCATTCATTTCTCCCCCTTGTATTATTTTTCCCTTTCCCCTCACTTCCTCTTGTATGTAATTTTGTATAACCTGAGGGTCTCCTTCCATTTCCATGCAATTTCCCTTCTCTCTCCCTTTCCCTCCCACCTCTCATCCCTGTTTAATGTTAATCTTCTTCTCATGCTCTTCGTCCCTACTCTGTTCTAAGTTACTCTCCTTATATCAAAGAAGACATTTGGCATTTGTTTTTTAGGGATTGGCTAGCTTCACTTAGCATAATCTGCTCTAATGATATCCATTTCCCTGCAGATTCTATGATTTTGTCATTTTTTAATGCAGAGTAATACTCCATTGTGTATAAATGCCACATTTTTTTTTATCCATTCATCTATTGAAGGGCATCTAGGTTGGTTCCACAGTCTTGCTATTGTGAATTGTGCTGCTATGAACATCGATGTAGCAGTGTCCCTGTAGCATGCTCTTTTTAGGTCTTTAGGGAATAGACCGAGAAGGGGAATAGCTGGGTCAAATGGTGGTTCCATTCCCAGCTTTCCAAGAAATCTCCATACTGCTTTCCAAATTGGCTGCACCAATCTGCAGTCCCACCAGCAATGTACAAGTGTACCCTTTTCCCCACATCCTCACCAGCACTTGTTGTTTGACTTCATAATGGCTGCCAATCTTACTGGAGTGAGATGGTATCTTAGGGTGGTTTTGATTTGCGTTTCTCTGACTGCTAGAGATAGTGAGCATTTTTTCATGTACTTGTTGATTGATTGTATGTCCTCCTCTGAGAAGTATCTGTTCAGGTCCTTGGCCCATTTGTTGATTGGGTTATTTGTTATCTTATTGTCTAATTTTTTGAGTTCTTTGTATACTCTGGATACTAGGGCTCTATCTGAAGTGTGAGGAGTAAAGATTTGTTCCCAGGATGTAGGCTCCCTATTTACCTCTCTTATTGTTTCTTTTGCTGAGAAAAAACTTTTTAGTTTGAGTAAGTCCCATTTGTTGATTCTAGTTATTAACTCTTGTGCTACGGGTGTCCT